CCCCCACGTCAGCGAGAGCAGAGTTTGCAGAGGAGCCCGTGCCCGGCTGTTAGAGGCGAAGGGCATCTCCCCGGGGTGAGAACTCACCTCTGCGTTTGGCTCTCCCTTGTCCTGCCCCACTGCTCCCAGCTCTGTCTCTCCACTGGACCGTGGCAGAGTTTGGAGGTCAGAAGAGGGTCCCGTGGGACGTGCTGTCAGCAGCAAGACGGGCGTAAAGGCCACGAGGTGGGCCCTCTCGATCCAGGGGTAAAAAAAATCCCTCATAGCACCATCTTTCCCTGCATCGACAGGGATTCCCCTGGGTGAAAAAGCTCTGACCTCAGAGAGGTGCCGCTGCCAGGCTGCACCAGCAACGAGCAAAACGTGCCCGTCCCAGCTCCTTTCACCCATTCCCTGAGCAACCATGAGGAGAGAGTAAGAGCAGGGGGAATGCTGCCAGAAGGGAAATACGGGCTACAGAGAGGAGGAGAGAGGAAGGGCAGGAGAAACGGGAAATAAGGACAGCAAGGACAGGACAGATGATGGCGGGGTCAGGTCTGGAGAAGCGAGGTGACTCTGGAGAGCGAGAGTGGGCAAGGGGGGGCAGACAGCCAGTGCCCATCTGTCACTCTCCACCACTGCTGTGTTCAGGTGATCTGTGGCCAAGAAGAACCAGGGAAAGGTGCAGAGCAACGTGAACCCAAAACCCAGGCAACAGCTCAAGTGCAGAAGACAAGAGAGCTGCTCTCCCCAAAGCCCCCGTTAACTCCAACCTTACTGCAGAACGCGACCCACCTGGAGCTGGTGAGCAGCTCACGGGAGTTATGGGATATCCTGGATAACCTCTCCAAGCAGGACCATGCTCCACACTCCAGAGGACAGAGGGACTTGGGGCCAGCCTCAGGCAAGCTTAAGAAAATTTTTGGCTGGGGAGATTTCTATTCCAATATCAAGACAGTGAAGTTGAACCTCTTGATCACCGGAAAGGTGGTTGATCACGGCAACGGCACAGTCAACGTCTTCTTCCGACACAACTCTACCGGGCAAGGGAACATTTCCGTCAGCCTCGTCCCCCCCACCAAGGCAGTGGAGTTTGACCTGGAGCAACAGATCTTCATCGAGGCCAAAGAATCCAAAATCTTCAACTGCCGCGTGGAGTACGAGAAAGTGGATCGCGCCAAGAAGACCACGCTCTGCACTTACGACCCATCTAAGACCTGCTACCACGAGCACACCCAAAGCCACGTCTCCTGGGTCTGCTCGAAGCCCTTCAAAGTCATCTGCATCTACATCACCTTCTACAGCATAGACTACAGGCTGGTGCAGAAAGTGTGTCCCGACTACAACTACCACAGCGACGTACCCTACTACCCCTCGGGATGATGCGCTCTGCCCATCGCAGGATGCCCCCGGTGACAAAACGGGTGCTGGGGGGGGCG